CAATAAAAGCTGACACTACATGCCTGCTCTGATCTATTGCTTTATTTGTTTAATGTTTGACCAGGTGGTTCTTCATTTAAAAGAAAACAGCTATTTTATTAAGGCACAGTTTTTGTATGACTGTGTTTAAATGTGTGAGTACTATGTTTTGTTTAGTTTATAAAAGAGTTGTGGAGGAAAACATGCTTGCATTCCTCAAACATATGTATAAAAATACTGCTTTAGGTAACTGCTACAATGCGAATATAGAAAAAAACAAGGATGCCCATAAACTGCCAAGGTTACCTGTTGAAATGCTGTTACTATTATATGGTGCATTTCTGTAGAGAAACAAACGAAGTCACGCGCTTCTGTCATGTTTCCCAACATTTCCTCATCCTAACCTAGCCTTCTTCTACCTTAGCATTAGCTAGCTGGTCAAAGTTCGGCATTTACAAACGCACGGGCTTTGAGTGAAGACGCAAAAGACATTAAACTGTCTTAAACATTACTTTCTATTTGCCATACACCATCAGCATGACTTGGCGTAAATGACTTGAACGTGTGACAGCCAGAGTTAGCTAGCTTCCGACTCAACTATGATGCATGACAATACGAAGGGAGGCACTCTGCTACGTTAGCTACCTTACGCTGCTGGAAGACAGTTATTAAGAATTTACCAATAAGTTAACAAATTCCAAAAGTCGGAGTTGGATAACTTACTTTTCCACAGCAAAAGAGAAACAGTGCACGACTGTACGTTTCTCACAAACAGCAGCTAATCTTATTAAATAAAATAGTGTTCCGCCGCCAGCAGCAACATCAATCATACTTCCGGTTAGAATTTTATTCAGAATAAAAGTACAATTTCCAAATGTAACCGCAACAAGGGTCAGTCGGACCAGCCATAAACATGAACTACACTATATAAATCATAGACACAAAATCGAATTTAATTCTCTGTAATTTTTCAAACATTTACAAAAGTCACTTTCTACCTTTACACAGAGAATGACATCTTCTGATTGCTATTAGTTTAAAAACAAAAATCGTGGTTTTCAAATTAAAAAGCACTTAAAAATGCCCCATAGCATAAATTTCAATAGAGAGTTCCACTTCCCTTCCTTTCAGGTTTGTCTGTAGAAATCGACCTGCATAGATCTGCCTAATATCAATTTTCATATGTAGGCTATTTAACTGTGTGTAGTCAAGATTGTCCTTAACTGACCTTCACACCCACATGCATGGTAAAAAGAGAAGGTAATACTACTTCACTGGGGGAGGATTAACTGTGGCACCCTTCTCATTCATTTTTAATTATTCTGAACTCAGCAGCACTTACTCTTGTTAGTGTAGTTGGTCATTTTTACGTATCTGGATGACATGTAGTTTTATCTCTTTTGCTCAATATGAAAACTTTTCTTGCTGTACAAGATATACAGTAGCTTCTGCTCTTTTTGAAATGCACTCCTTTTGTTTAAGATGTTGCAGGTCCTCTACATGAGGATCTCCTCTCTGTGGTTCATGTTTCACCAGCCATTTGTTAGTGATGTCAGGGTCAAAAAGAGACAGAAGGATGAAAGCCACAGTATGTGCATATACTCACACAAAAATACATATGCACTGAAAGCTGAGGGAGTGCTGGCCTTGCAAATCAGTTCCTAGGCTGAAACGTATTTGACAACATTTGAATTATTCAAACTTTTACAAACCACTAAACTTTGATGTAACTCTTAAGTCCATGTCAGCCATGATAGCAGCTCTGAGAGGTGTTGGTGTTTACACACCAGGAAAAAAAAACAGGGGGCAGTTTAGGACATGTTAGGTATTTTTAGTCAGATAGATATTGGTCAGATACTTGATGTATTAGAAATGTTTAGAGTAGACAGGGTGTCTAGCTCAGGCTGTTAAATGCTTAGGTATTCTCATGAGTTGCTGCAGGTTGCTTATGGTCAAGGATAACTAGATAGAAAGCTGATGACTGTTAGAAGACAGGATATTTAATATTATTATTATGACGTGTATAACCGTAGCCATAGCCATAATATTTTCTTATGTTTAATGTCATGACATGTCACTAGAGGTCATGTTAGAATGTTTTTAGCTACACACCACATAATCAACAGACAATCACACATTGATTTTCTTCATGTTTTGACTATTGCTCTGGCCAGCTGCAAAGCTGGCACCGGGAGACGTCACGGTTTGGCATCTCTC